TGTCGAATACTTGGTGTGGCTAATTTAAACATTGGCAGCTGTCACATTTTCAGGTAGGGCGGTGGGTTGGCGGGTCTTCTGTTCGACAAAGATTAATTGGATCAGGCTTCTGGAAGCGCTGACGAAGAAGACACGTATCCAGCGAACTGACTCGGAATTGCCCCTGCTTCGCTGGCTGAGGAGAGGCGCAATCCGACTGTGCCAGCGAAACCAGCGGAAGCGGTCGATGTCCCCTCGGTAGTGCACGGGCGTACGCCGGCTGCCTTTTCGCTGAAGTACATTTTATCTTTTTCCGCACTTTATGAGACTGTATAAGGGCGTGTGCATGGCTTCCTTTCATTGCGGACTGATGCGTTTGGCCCAGCTGTACCAAGACCGTCATGTGCTGGCCACCTGTGCAGCTCCAAGGGCTGCGGCATGTCCGCTTCTGATCAGTTGCAGGTCACGCTACTGTGCAGTTGTTTGTGGTGGGATGGTCGCTTCATCACTTTGCTTTTTGAAGAAGCAGCCTTTTTTTCAGCAATGGAAGGGCAGCGCCATTGGCCGACCAACGCAGTGATCAACCCGAAGTTCTTTTAACGCCAAGGATAGCCTCACAAGGCGTGGAGAAGCGATCGCCGATCGACTTTGAATGTTGGTGTTTTACACTTTCGATTAACGAGCGATAGTGTTTTGCACCTGCAATAGTATCTCTGGGTACGTATGCGTACTGTTTGGCCGATGTTTGTATCAGTACCGATTCGATTGCCTTGCTGTCGACCGTGCCGCCCCGTTGTTTCTCTCCGTGCATTTTCTTTTTAAGTGGCATTTAAAATGTCTCCGAATTGTAAAAATTACAGTAGAATTTACGAGAATTTCTCGGGGAGCGTGAGTAGCACTTTAAAGCTTTATCGGAATCGTTGAACATAGTTCTGTAGGGATATAGTATCGAACTGAGAAGGTTTTTTGGTGTGGAAACACAAAAAGCAGGTGCCAGAAATACTAAAACAGTTTGTTTCCGCTGCCCTGAATAGCCTTTTTTGTAGGGGTTTACTTTTTGTGGGAACGCTGCGGATCTATTACTTGAGTGTCTAATTCCTTGTTTACCTTTTAGATTTCGGTGATTTCACTTTTAATTCTCAGCCTTCCTTTTGGATGCTCACTCTTTGTTACCGTTCCGCGTATGTGACATAAGTATGTTTTTGTCGGAAGAAGAAATTCGAATTACATTTCGAATGGAGGCAGGAATTGCAGTTAGGATCTAGGCCCTACTTTTTGGACGGCTTGGAAATTCGACAGTCCCTCAGATTGCAAGATGATAGCACTGATAAACTCACTACGCCAGAGCTGCTTTGTTTTTCAGCTCTACTGCGAAGTTAATCATTGCAGGCGTCTGGTAAACTTGCGTGCGCAGCAGGAGAACAAGCTGCGCACCGACAGCGGGATCGAGGAAGCAGACGCATTCATAGCGTTAACGGGAGTTCAGGCGAAGTTGTGAAGGAGATCAAAGTGTAACTAGTCACCACTGCACCTGCCGTTTATGATCCACATGCCACTAATTGTTGCATGTTGTATTGTAACTAATAAATACACTATTGTAATTTTATGCGGCTTAAACTTTGCTACTGCAAAGGTAACAATAATTACGTTAAGTAGGGCACTTCTCAGGCATCAGAAAACCGGCTTCTCTCGAAATTAAAAACTCATATGTTTTGATTATACTTCTTAATTCATTTCGAAAACATCATCTGAAACACAAACACACACACATGCATACATACATACATACACACACACACACACACACACACACACACACACTGATAGAAACAGCATGTACGCACGTCTTGATACTGATTCTCGGAAATTTTTTGAAC